TTCATGGTGGCAAGAACATTTTTTTACTTATAAGTATTTCTAGGTAAGTCCTTTGAGGCTAATTGGATCAGGCTCAAAAAGAAACAAGATGCAGTGTTATTCTGAAGGCAAAAACAAAAGGATGATGTATCATTTGGGGGAGTCATCGAAACATTGCAGTATTTACTAAAGTAGTTGAGCAAGGCAGGCTTTGTCTCAATTTGTGTCACAGTCATATCATGAGTCAGAATGATTTCATTGATCTGTCCCACTCTGCAGTCTTTTAATGCCACCATTGATTAGGCAACTGAGATTGTTGTGTAGGAGGCTTATCATGACAGTAAGAATGAATGTTCTTTTAAAGTGTAATTAAAAAACCTGCATGAAGAATTTCTGTTATGTCAAAAAAAATTCAAAGACTTTCTTAGCTAACATGAAAGATTCTCAGCATGGATTTACTCCTCCTGTGCTAACCCGGGTGAATGGAAGGTTGTTCTCCAGGCCATGAATGCTTTTGGAATGAATGGGGGCAGGACAGATGACCAGCATCATTTCTTGAGAAACCACTGGGTACCTTATCAGAGGAATCTAGGGGCATCTGTGATGCTGTGGAAATCCCTGGACACTTAAGAACTGGTCCTTGGGGGAGGACGTGCCCAGGGTTTTACAAAAATAATATTCAGAGGCTCTGGAAAAGAACAGAGCTGGGTTTCCATCACATTTACTCTGTGGAGTTCATTCTTTACCCTTTCATTTTGAATTTCCTCATTTGTAGAATGGGGATCACTCCATTCAAAATCATGTACTTGGTGTACTTACTGTAAAGAATAAAAAGATGTGATGTCTCGAAATGGCTTAGCAGGACATCTAATACACAGAAATTACCTAATAAGCATCTACTCCATTCCCCTGAATGAAGAGTAAGAAAGATAAAGAAGTGGGAGAGTGTTTTCAATCATATGTTTTTAAACATATTTGTCTGCTTGAAGGCAGAGTCAGTGCTACTGTTTTTTTTTTTCTCTGTAACTCTTGGGAGACACTTAACCAGGGAGAGGTGGGATGTACCAAATTACAGTTCCAAGTGGAAATGTAATTGCCTGGTGGTTACTAGTAAAAACCTGAGACAAATGTGCCTGTGCATAAGTTACTTAACCTCTCTGGTCCTGTTGCCTGGTAGGTAAAGCAAAAATAATGCCGATAGGGTGTGTAAGAGACCCTTGGTTTGTTTGGCCAACCCATTTCCTGCATCGTCTAAGATGTGAGTCCTCTTTTAAAGGAAGGGCTCCAGTATCCATGCTTGTTCCACCACACCTCAGTTGCCTCAGACGGAGACCAGGAAGTCACTTGACGTAGGAGGACCAACCCATTGGCTGGGCTGACAGTCGGCTTCTTTCTCTCCCGAAGACTAATTGACATGGTGACTACAAAGTGCTCCACATGGCACCCCAGATGTAATGAGGGTTCAGTAATTTTGAAACTAAAAGTAAAGACCATTTCCTGGAATCTATTCTTCCCTTACAAAAATAGTCTGCAGTATTTATGATTTAGGTCATTGGTACAAGCCTCATAGGCAGTGCAGGGGACAATTTCCCCCAACTTTGGAGTGACAGCTCAAATCAAGAGGAGGATGAGATTTCTATCCTTATATCCCTTTCATGCCAGGGAGATTTGTGAAAGAAGCATGTATTAAGCAGTTTTCTCTGGAAAAGCCTACCAGTCCTCATGCTAGAAATTTTAATGTCATGATCCCAGTCTAGGTAGATTCAGACCTAGGATTGCTTGTTTTTAACAAGTTGGACTAGGAAACAATGGAAGTGAAATACTATTTCTAACTATGCCTCTTTCTCCTCGGCACCCTGAGACTACAGCTTCAGCCTCAGGAATGGCTGTCTACTTTGCCTGTCCTTAACAGGTTCAGCTCATTAAATGTAGCAGCACTTATTCGGCAAGGATTGTATCTCATTTTTCTCATTAAGCTAGAATAGGCACCACAGAGGGAGAAGGTGGGGGTTAGCTCTTGTGATCCTAAGGGTGTCTAAGGTAGGAAAGGCTTTCCTTGATAAACTTATCCACATGTTCCTATCGTAGTATTTATCCCAACTATCCATCAATATGTTGAAGGGAGAATTTTCACTCATCCACACACTCTTCGTATTTCACAGTGTTTATTTTCATTTCTCTTTCAACTTCTTACATTATGGAACTATTATTTCCTTTACTTTTTCTATACAGGGCTGAGGGTCACTTTGATTTGTTTTTCTTTTTATAGTAGTCATCCTAACTAAATTTTCTCCATTGAATGTATAGTTTTATTTTCATGGCAGAAATTCATTCATTCTGACTGTCTGTCTGTCTGTCTCTTTCTCTTTCCCAATACTGAAAATTTCCTGCTTTGGGATTAGGCAGCCATGTGATTAATGCAAATCAAAGATCCTGTGAAGTTTTTATGTATGCTGAAAGATTCTGAAATGTTTTGGAGGTAGCAAGGGTATGGGGCAAAATACCATTTTTCCAGGGCTGTGCTCTGAGAAGTCACTTAGCCACAGCATAGCACCCCCTGCAAACACTTTCCCTTCATTTGCACACACACACACAAACACACACACACACTCACACACACACGTATATAATCTGTAACCAGCAAAGTATAATCCAGGTCTCTTTTCAAAAGGAGCAACCAGTTCAAATGCACAGCTGGGTATGCCAGAAAACACATAATTAGACAAATTGGATTTAAGAGTTACGTAAGGTCTCAACTGAGCCGGTGAATAAGAAGCTGAATGAAACGTTGTGATTGCTGCTCTGGTGCCTGGAAAGAACAGAATATGTGGATATGTGTGTTTTGGGCAAATAAAAGGCAATTACTGGGAGTTATGGAGCGTAGTTGGCATTCTAGAGAGCTAGACTATAGAATGTTTCACAGTGGGTTGTGCTGGAGGATAAATGTTGTCCAGGGCTAAAAGGGGAAGTCTGTTAGAAAAAATGTGCCTAAGAGGAAAAGACCTGAGAAATTCTATTTTGGAATTGCATTTTGTAAAAAAGTAAAGGGCAGTTGAAAAATGGCATGTTATGCAATTTTAATTACATATTATGTAATTTTTCTACACATTTATAAAAAGTCTTAGAGAATTTTAAGTGTCAAGGAAACATTAAATATTATTTTCTCCCATAAAAGTGGACTTTCCCAGCCAAGGCAGGTATATTCTGGAAAAGATAACAAGCGGTCTACAGTTTCAGAATTTTTCATTAAGAATTCTCAAACCAATGACTAAATGTTGAAGATAAGCTCCCTCATAGGATTAAGAAGCTAAAACTAAATCACCACTTTTTCCTATTTGCAAGTAATCTTATTTGCAAATTTGTCTCAAGGCAACTGAATGAAAAGTAGATATTCTTCTCTCTCGACAATCTCTCTGAAATAAATGGGACAAAAAGCAATTGTCTGAGAGAGTCCTATTTTCTTAAAGAAAATATCCTGGATTAATTGACCAAAGTACCTATTAGTCCCCATGATACCAGCACTTATAGCATTTGGGGCTTGTGTCTCAGTGTGCAATTCAAATATATATCCATAAAAATCCTTGCCAATAGTAATAACTTGTCTGTTAATGTCACCTAACCATTAAAATCTCTATTAGCAATCATCATATTTGGGTTGATATCATTTACAAAAAGTGTTCTGAACACCTTTAATTTGCAGACCATGTGCCAGAGATGGGCAAATACAAAGATAACCAAGAAGCATCTTCCTTCAAACTTATACTCTAGAGACTGATAGAGAAATACAACAGGGAAGTCAACTTAGTGTGCTGTTGGCAACTTTGCCATATATTTTGTGCTTGTGCATCAGAATTTTCTTTTATTTTGATGATGAGGAATTATTTTGAAGAAATTGACTTCGCTTATGTTATCATTTGAAGTGTACTTTGTTTCAGAGGGATGTTCTTTCATGTCAAAAGTATGTCTTTTAAACCACTATGATGCTTATTATTATGATAAAGTATATAATATTTTTACACTGATGATCAAGTCACTGTACATGATTATATATGTGCACAACAGTTGGCAAATTCGTGAATGCAAACCACATGAAAATCCTTAGTGGTGAATAAAACAAACAAACAAACAAACAAACAAACAAAGGAATCTGTTAGAGATATGTACCAAGTAGATTCTTGTATTTGACAGTCCTTTAATTTCTTGTCAGGCACCCATCAAACTACCCAATTCAAATGCCATATTGGGAGACTCTCCTCCTTGTTTATTTATATGCAAGAAAGCTATTGGAAATATATTTGCTAGCAACTGAAATGCTCTAAGGCATAAAAAGCTTGTCAGGAACACAAAAGTGATTACAGTATGGCTAGCTGCTGCTTCTTAGTCTAAAACGAAGAGAGAGAATGAAGATTGTCATACCTGTTCTAAAAACTTTCCAAAATGCCAAAGATGGCAGGTAAATTTAGTTTCACTTTCCTTAAATTATATGAAAGTTCTTCATTCTTGAGCTGGTACTGAAATACACTTGTCACAGAAAGAAAGGTATTTGCTGTTGTTCAGTAATACCCATTGACTTAAAGTACCTTAGCACACTTTTCCAGGCTAAAATACATCAATCCTTCCTCCCTTGCAAAGACTGCACAGAGAACTGTCTTAAGTAAAACACATTCATTTGATCTGATCATTGAGAATTTTGGGACATTATGTCTTAATTCGGGATTAATTAAGACACAAAACAGGGAGAAGGAACAATCATTTTGAGTAACAGCCATTTATGATTAAAAATCATAGCTCATTCTTTGGTGTGTTGCTTACTTTAGTTTCTAACAAGATGAGTAATGCTAGAAATAGGTGAACACTTTCTACTGAGTTAGAAGCAAAGAGTTGTTAGTTTTGCCCTGATAAAACTTTCCTCCAACCTTGAGTATTTATAGAGAGAAATTCTGGTTTGTAAAACCAAATTCAATACTGATCTTGTCAGGGAAACTAAGATTAAAAACATGAGTAAGAAAGCAGAGACTTACTGTATCACGTTGCCTGTTATCTTTCCCTGATATTATCAAGAAGTAGTTCCATGTCAATAGCAACAACAAAACCAGGGGTATCATGTAGAGCTCAAAGTTCCACACTACAAAGAGAAAGAGCTGGAGGAAGAGAAGAGAGGAAAAAGATGAGTCAACCCTGAATTTCATTAGATGGACTCTCTTATTCATACTCCGCTTCAAAAACCAAAAACCTAAACGCTTTAGAATGGGAAGGTTTATCTGGAAAACAAAGCCTTGAGAACTTGTGGAGCATTTTTCTAAAAGCACAACTGACCCCTACAAAATCATGGTTAAGATTTTTTTACTTTGTTTCATTTCCAAGAAGGAAAAACTGATATCATTACATTGTCAAAGAGGCAATTTTAATTTTTCTCCTCCAGTGAAATTATTGTTAGGTTAGACAAAATAAGTTTTTTAAAAAGGTAGCAAATGGAGCATCAGTACAATATCAGAATAACCCAGTCTAGCTGTCTTAATGACAAAGGCTGAATCGCTATTAAACACCAGGGACTTTTTTTAAAAGCTCACTTGGATAACACAATGTAACTAGTATAATAGGCAGATGAAAATACCAAGTCTACACCGGAGAGCCGCCAAGATTTCATATTATGAAAAAAACACTGCTACCAAGTGTAAAAAGTTGTCTTAACATTCAGTATTATGATAGAAATCCAACAGCTATTAAATGAAAATAAAGAGTAATTTTGTCAAAGGAAATTCTAAAATACCTATTTGTATTAGTTTTTAACACCTACTTTTCTACATATATAAACTATTTTTCATTGTAAGATAAATGTTAGATTAGGGACTCAGAGTGGCAGATGGAGCCATTCTAAGGGCATTTAAATTGTAAAACAGCAGGACTTTGGATGTACAGTGTGACTCATCCCCAACCACCACCCCATGGGCTCCTAACGATACTGTTTAAATTCTGGGGGTCTGTGGCTCTTCCTGTCAGACGAAGGTCATGTTAAATCAGGTGCACTTTAAGAGCTGGACTCCAAACCTGACTCTAATGCTAACTACCTAGATAACCTTTTGACAACTGACCCATCCTCCATTGAGTTTCTTTCTCTGTGAAATGGGGACAAATGAAGTATCACTTCATAGTTCTGGGAATTAAATAATTAGAATGTGTTAAGGGTTTGATATACTGCTTGGTACCCAGTAAGTGGGCAAAAAGAAAAATAAAAACTACTGAACTATTGTGTAAATGGCATCGGTGTTCAGAAAGTTGACTAATTGTTGACTAGGGTCCTCAAATTCTAAAGTCATTGGCCCACTAAGATCTAGCTGAATGGTAGCATAACTAGGAATTTCAGTCAGCTGCTGGGGGTACCATAAGCCCCCATCTCTGGGAGGTCAGGAGACTTAGAGGTCATGGCCTAAGGTCACTCCTGTCAGGCACAGTGGCAGGGGCATGGCACACCTTAAAGAATCCCAGTCAGACCTCACTCCACTCAAATGGCAGAGATAATTAAATACATAATGAGAGAGAGAGAGACCCCCAGCCAGAAGGCCAGAGGATCCAAGATCTAGGCCTGAGAAAATCACTTTCCCTCACCGTTTCCATATCTAGACAGATGTCTATAAACCTGATTACTTCTACAGCCCTCCTCCATTATTTAAAATGAACACATAGTATTACTGTGCCATTGGGTTTATTAATATTAAATTTTATTGAAATTTTTAATATTCAAAACCCAAATGGACACCCAAAAACACAAATGATGGTTTGGTAATCTACTAAATGAATTTTGGAGAGTATTATGTAATAATAATAGATTCAAGTTCTTAAATAAGAACTATTCTAAATATCGCAATGCATGAAACATGAGCCACATCTTTTATTTCACTAGACAAGTAGAAAGACTTCTAGAAAAATAAGATATCTCCATTTAATTTTTGAAAAACATTTAAAATGATAAAAATTATAATAGATGGTTTTGATTTTTATATATTTTTATAAAGATAATTATTTTCCAGGAAATCAATTAAGCTAAACTTAACAGACATTAACATTTATAAAGGAGAAAAATTTTTTTGTTCTTTTTTTTTTTTTGTGGTGCCTTGTGCCTTGTGCATGCTAGGCAAGCACTCTAACACTGAATTACACCCCCAGCGTGGAAAATTATTTTTGGTTAGAGTCTGCATTAAGGTTTTGCACATTTATTTGTAATGTTTAGGCAATCACCAGGATGTAAGCTCCTTAAGTGTAGAGACTTCTTTCTTTTTGTTTACTCTTTTATATTTGGATCTTAGAAGAGTACTTTGGGTACAATAAATTCTCAATAAGTAAATTTTACCAAATTAATGAATAACCAGGTACTGGATTCCCAAATCATTCAACAGAAATCTATTTAATTGTTTGTATTTGTAAAAGTATAGAACAGCTATACAAAGCCAACTAATTTCAGAAACATGCATTTAGAATCATAACCTGGCATGGTGCGAGCAGATGTCTGCCTTTGACAAATAAGTCTGCCATAACATTTCGTCCAGATAAGATTGTCTTTCCATTCTGGCTATGCATCATGAAGTGTTTTGCATGGTAGAGTCTGACCACAGTTGTGCCTCTGGAACCTTCTTACATGTTTGTCTTTCCTGAGGGCATTCACTCAGCTCAGTGTGTTCTGGCCCCATGGATGGGTCTAAGGTTATTCTATTGCTTAATATGACCAGCTGTAATCTTTAACCTGTTAAACTGATGAGTTATCCCTTGTAGCGTCTACTCATTGGTGTGAAAGTTCTGGTGTTATACAGTCAAGTTTTTCTAATGTTCATGTAGTGGCGTTGGCTGTTGGTCTGGCATTACCCAGAGAACCCTTTCTAGGTGGTAATCCTGCAAGTAATCAAGACATCTACCATCCCTTTTTCTTCTCTAGGTTCAACATCACCATCATCATCATCGTCATCATCATCAGGAAGAAGATATATTTCTTTGCACTTCCCTATTTTGGACATCTTCTTCTCATACCCAAATCAATACATCAATAACTTTCCCAAAGTACAGCACTTAGAACTGACACAAACTGCTCGCAAGTGCCTGTGGTGTGTTCATATATTCTATCAACATGGATACCAGAACACGTGCTGGGGGAAAATCACAGGAGAGAGAAACAAAAGAAGTAATTACATTAGCTTTAGGGATTCTGGCAATGGAAAAATTGTCTCTTGCCCTACTGTGTGTTAAGAATCTACTATTTTAGTAATTGAGAAGGAGATCCTACTATTGAAAACATCTTTTAAAAAAGAGGGCTTTGAATAAATGCTAAATACGAAAGCATTTAATTTTATGAAAGAATAAAAAACAACATGAACGTAGATTAACAATTAAAATGCATTTATTGAACATTTGCAATGTGCTGTGCAATAGATAGTGGTCAAAACTAAGATAAAATGCTCTCTGGACTCAGACTGCTAAGTCACTGGGAAAAAAGAAACCAATCATTCACCATAATACCAGGGATGACTCTAATTCTTCTTAGCTGTTAAGGGTCCTTTAATAAAAAGAGGCCTCTACACTGAAGCCTGGTCCCTCCTCCTGGGGCCCACCTGTACTAAGACTGATCCTCTCTTCTTTCCTATGAAAAATGGAAATAAAACAAAAGACTTGGCCTCCAGTGTCCCATTAGGGTAGAGGAGAATGAAAGCAGACAAGAGAAAACTCAAGGAAAGCTAAGATGACCCACGATCTGTCCTTGGTCCTGACCATACTTTTAGAGAATGGGCTAAAATGGGATGAAAAAAGAAGTTAAGGAATAATAAAAAATAATCCTCAATACATTCAAAGAATACAAATATAAACTATAAAACTTGTAGCATGCATCTTCACTCATACTTCCAGAATCCTGTCCTTTTTTTTGGCCTGTTTGGAACATGGAGAGAGGACTTCAGGGTTCAGAATTTTTAAATGTTATACCAGGTGATAAGAACTCTCACAGATTTATACAGTATGTAATTTCATTCAACTTTACCACTATGGGATCCCCTCTTTATTTATCCCTCATCTTTTCACAACACACAGTCTCATCGCTTCTCCCCTTCTCTCCCTATCACCATATCCCCACTGCCCACTGTCCACAGTGCACTATTGATATGGAAGCTTGGGCTGTGTCTTACTTTCATAGAATCCATGCCTCCCTTCCAGACAAAGCCCTATGTTAGCCATCTCTGCTTATTAGAGACTAACACTATCCAAGCATTTGGTGGTTTTCTTTTGAAAACATCACTAGATGGCTATTATGATTTACAAATAGAATTGTATAGCAGAAAATCATCAAGGAATATTAGTCAAAAGGTACTAAGTACACACAACTTTCATTATTAGAAGGGATACTGAGCGATTTACCCATTATCTAGAAGTTAGAAGTTCTTTCAACTGGCTTTGGACTATCAACTATGACCATGAGATCCCTCAAGGTACTAATGCAACTTGGTAAAGTGGATAGAGCATAGGTATTCACACAAAGTCTGGGGCATCCTAGCTCCCCAGTCATGAGCTATGTGAGCTTGGGTAAGTTATTAGATCTCTCTTAATTTTATCTGAAGAGTGGAAATCCTATTTTCTTTGTACATTTGAGATGGAATTAGCCTGATGCTTGGCCCCTACAACATGCTCTACAAGCAAAAATATATTGGCCTATACTATGTGTGATTTATGCTCCTTCTTGCAGCTTATCACTTTTGCTCCAGCACCCTAGGGTCCATTGGTAATAACCCTTTCAAGCATAAGAGGTATCTAAAAGAAGCCATGGAAATAGAATAGGAAAAGATGATGAAAGGGTGCCATTTTTAGTGTTTTTACAAGGTGTGATAAAAATACAGTGAATATTTAAATTTAAATTACACATCACCATTTGTTTTAAACACACTTAGTCCATCATTCTTGTCATTTCTGAAGCAGTTCTGGAAATCCTCTCTCATGAGTATCTTTAATTGAGCTGATGTGGCTGCCTCAATGTCCCAAATTGATTCAATATGTTTATCTTTTGTGATCATTTGGACTTTGGGGAAGAGCTAGAAATCAGTGTCAGATATGGTAAATGAGGTGGATGAGGACACACCATTTTAGTCCATTTCCATTAGATATCACACAG